ATATCCGGCTCTGCCGCGCCACGGATTAGGGCGCGGCACTGCCGCGCCAAGAATGGTGGCGCGGCAGAGCCTTTCCACGTCAGCGGTCAACGGTGATGGTCGCCACCACGTCATGCCTCTGTCGCGCCGCCATGCATGGCGCGGCACAGGCATTTGGCCGCGCTAGGGCAATAGGCGCGGCCAAAAGTGTTAGTTTTTAAAAAAAAATCGACAATGTTAGATTTAAAATTATATTCAAAAAAGGGTTAAAATTAAAAAAAAATCGTGGCCGTTCAGTGCTCGTGTATTCTTTTTCTTTTCCCTTCCCTATCTGCTGGCTATCTCTGCATTTTGGCAAAATTTGTAAGAAGACATCGTAAAAGTGTGGCTTTTGCCACGAACCACAATTTTTGTTTTGTCTTTGCCAAAAGACATCATAAATCCTTGCTAATATGCTACATGTTGTTGTGCATGCACCGCCATCTTGACTGACCACATCCAAGTACACAGCCGATGATCCAAATCTCTTCAGCCAGTGAGTATTGAGTATTAATCCTATTTGCAGTGCTTTTGTGGTGTCCCATGCTTGCAATAATGTTCCTCCTATCCCTAACTACCCATTATTGGTGTAGATTGAGATGTTCGGCCATTAGCACTTTTGTGCATAGAAGGAACTTGATGAAATGCCTAATACATTGCAATCGTGCATGAACTTTTATATGCCAAGGTACACCAGCAGGAATTTTTGGTCTCCAGTTTCTCTTTTTCTTTTCTTTTTTTTTTGTCCATGCCATTGCGGATATCATGATATTAAACAGGTGTACCATAGTTCACAATTTGTATTATGTCCCAGTACTAGACAAGTGTACTTAAGTTCAGTTTGGAAGAAATAAGATATATATTTTGCAGCAGGGCTATATGCTCAGGTTTGATTGTTTATACCAATTACAAACACTAGAACACTTATGTTTAGAGTTCTGCTGAAAATGAGTGTAGATGAGCTTCATTCGCCACTAAAATTGATGGATATGCCTGACAAAAGTGAAAAAAAATGTTGCTTTGATCAACTGTGGCTCTAAATGTTGGGTGACCTTGGAGAGGTTATCAGTGATTCAAGTTGGTGAGGTCACCCGGCTACAGAGCATTCAATTTATACGATTGTTAGGATTCCTGTTAGCAGTCCAACAGGTAACATTTATTATAGAACTTAATATGATTGCCAAGATGTTCTGATGGAAGGAAATTTGGAGTGCAGGGCGGCCACAAGTTCAACGAAATTTCCATTAAGAAATATGTTGCTTCATTATGCAAGACAACATCGTTTCCAGAGGTGGACTGCCGTGGTTGCTATCTTGTACTGGCAGCTTGTTTGTGAGTACTGAGTACTAATTATTTTAGTGATGCATAGTGCTATTTTTTTAAAGATCAGCACGTGTGGTGTGCTAATGTTGTTTGGGAGTGTGCATGCCACCATGTGTCATGAACTTTCGCCTATAGGTCTGGCCAAGACCACCTTCATGGGCCTTGGTGTGAACCACTAGCCGCTGACGCCTAGCATGGTCGCCATAGGATACAGTTAGTTGCATCTGTTCGCCACACATGGTTATGTGCAACTGTTGAGCAGTGACAATTTCAATTGTGCTTACGTGCTATGTTGCAGAGAGACATGATGGTTTACATTGTTTGGAAAGCAAACTTAAATCTTTTCATGATTTCAATGAAGAGTAAAGCATCTTAGAACTTTGTGAATTTTGACCATGCATCATACCATGATTTGCATTGTTTGGAAAGCAAACTTAAATCTTTTCATGATTTCAGTGAAGAGTAATGCATCTTAGAACTTTGATGTGAATTTGGACCATGCATCATACCATGACTAGCCATTGCTGCCCGCGCTTCGCTGCGGGTGATTTGCTTGGTATAGGAAACCTCATATTGCTAATATGTTTTCTCATCGTATTAGTACTTAAGGCTGGTGAGGTTGGTTGTCATTACATGGTGCCTATTCTAGTGGAAAGAAGTATTTGATGGAGTTGGGTTCCAGCAACTAACGCACTTAGATTTGAAGTACAACATTGGATAGCATTACATTATAGGCAAAAATAGGAAAACTAAAACACAAATACTTTCCCTAACGGGAGGGTTTACAAAAAGTGAATTAGGATTCACTGTTCTTAGGTGAATCTACAACACGCGTCCAATAAGTACGGATGACAACAACGACAAGAGGAGCATCCCAAGGCAACTAATCCACCTTGAAACCACGCAGCTTGACTCCTGTGCTCGGTGGATTCTTTTATTGTACTGGATATGGATCTGCAACTTCTCGCGCTAATGGTTGAGTGAGAGGAACTAAGGGGTCTGCTTCTAACACTTCCGAAGGTGGAGTATTTGGCGTTCCACATCACCGGTTCTCCTTGTTTGATTGGGTGGATAGGGATCCCCTCCAAGATCGGGGCATCCCGCATTTCATCAACAGCGCCCTCGCTTGGCCCTAGTAAACAAATAGGCCTCACCCGGTTGATGAACATGCCGATCTTGGCCTCCTTGAGCCGACATTGCAGCCTCCGGCTCTCGGCGATTCTGACAGCAGCGGCATGCGCTTCGACGAGTTGCACCTGGAGCATCCGAGTGAAGATCTCGGCTTCTTCGGCGCGCCGGAGGCACGCCCTCAGCTCTAAGGCTTGCCGGTCATACTGCTCATCCAGAGCAAGCAGGTACGTGGTTAAGTGCACCACGGTAGGACTATCTTCTTGCGCATCATGACCTTGCAAAGCCTCCATGCGAGCCATCCATGGCCGCCGATTCCTATCCAAGGGTGGAAAGAACTTCATGGGGGTACGGGCAACGGGCTCTTCATAGAGCTGGCAAAGGTACCGTAAAGCTTTGCGGGCCACAACCTGGTAAGTGTTGGTGAAGCTAAATCCGGTTGCGGTCACACTCCAGGCTTCGGTGATGTCGGGGAACTCTTCACTCTTCCCAATGTAAACCGTAACCTCACACCGATCGGTGCCATGTTTCTGATACTCACGGCCCTCATACTCGGGACGATACTTGACTCCAAGCTTTTGCAGGGTGGCGTGCAGGATTCTAGGAAAACCCTGAACGTTTAGGCAGTAACTACTAACCCAGGTTCCTGCCATTTCTGGTCGTGGCTACAAAGAAGGGCCGAGTAAAAAGCTTGCTCAAAGAGAAAACCTAAGCGAGCTAAAGTGCGACGAGTGGTGGCACCAATGGCCAAGGCAGGCTTTGCTTATAAAGCCCGAAGCGGTCTGTGGGCTGGCGTGGTTCACTAGGGTTCTTCTTGGCGGGATTACTACGAACGAATCGACCAGATTTCGCTCGTTCGAGGTGAGCGACGTGTGGTGCCATTCTTGAGTAGTACGATTTGTAGGGCAAGGGTCCGAAACAAGAGCTTGAGAAAAAGGGGTACAAGGAGGCATGGGTCACTATTGACGTGGCTCATGGGAGAGCGTGGAGCACAAAGCCATAGTGTAGACCTAACTATGTAACGAGCATGAGTAGGCCATGCAGACTACGGCACGCGTGACACCTATGGATGGCGTGAGTGCTAGTAATATGGGATAACAATGCACAAACAGGCCATGCATCAATGCACGTCCTATGCGTTTGAGGTGAGCGATGTCTGAGGCCATTAAAGACTAATACGGTTGTAAGCCAAGGTTCCGACAAGAACTCAAAAAAGAGTGCTACCGGCTAAGCGCGTGGTGCGCTTATAAAGGCGAGAGCGATTACGTGGTCTTGGCGTGGTTCACGAGGTTCCTACGTGGGATCACTACGAACAAATTGACCAAATTTCACGCGTTCGAGGCGAGTGGCGTGCGGTGCCATTCTCGAGTAATACGATTGCAGGGCAAGCGTCCGACAAGAAGTGCGAAAAAAGTGCGAGGGGCGTGGGTCACTCTCGGCGCTACTCACGTGTGAAACGCGGACCACGAAAGTGCAGTGCGAACATATTTACGTAACAAGCGGCGTGAGGCCATGCACACAACGACATGTGTGGCACCTAAGGATGGCGTGTCTACTAACAATACGGCACAATAATGCACGTACTACGTGGCTACACCTCAACTAACCACCTAGGTATGTAGTAGAATTTACAAGATTTTGTTCTTTGTGCCGGCGTCTTTGGCACTTACTGAAACCTCATCATTGTATACATATAAGTATATAGTTCCATTGATGCGCACGTTAGTGTGTTCACCTAAACGAAGTACATTGCACGGCCATTAAGGACTAATACGGTTGCAAGACAAGGTTACGACAAGAGGGAAAAAAAAGCTGGGGAGACTTGGGTCATGGTAGGCGTAAACATAGCGGACGCTAAGCACAAAGCCATTATGGTAGATGTAGTAATGGCGATCAACCCCAACCACCGACCATCACAGGAGTAGCGTGGCCATGCATGTGTCCTAAATCGTAGCAGATTTAAATGGTCGTGCATGGTCCTACATATTACTTAGAAACTACCACAATGTCCATACGAGTGCATACTACCTAGGTACTATTACAAATAGTACAGCTTGGACGGTGAATCGTTTTTATCGATGGTAAGGAGAAGCGACATTAAATGTGTCCACCAACCCCAACCATCGCTTCTCGCGCTTCGTTATGGGTGATGTACTTGTTGTAAGAGATTCGGAGTGTTCCAAGTAGAGAGAGAGTACAACTAAGTGGCAAATGACTTAACCTCTTTAGCGAGACGGCGGCAGACGATTTTTTAGCGAGAAAAAGCACTTTGGAAAGTTCGGTAGAGGTAGAACCAGAGGGCTCTCAGCTACGTTAGTGGCTTGTCGCAGAGCGGCCTCTAAGGCCAAAAAAAATTGGGCCCGCAAAGCTAGGTCTGGCCCATTGGGCTTGTAGGGTTCCTGTCTTAGCGACGTAGCGCGAGTCAAAGACCGGTCGCATCTTCTCCCAATCTCGCTGGGTTCGCAAGGCGGCCACACGCCGATGCCTCCAGCAACACTCTCTTCGTCGTCTCCGCCGTCGTGCACGCCACCATGGTGGCACCGGCCGCGCGCCTCGTGGCCCGCCGCCTCCTCGGCCTCGCTTCCGCGTCTGGGTCGGAAGTAATCGGCCGTCGTCTAGCCTCGTCTCCGGTTAGCCCTCTTCTCTCCCAAACCCTACCCCCACTATTTCCCCAGACTAATCGTCTGATGTCCTCTGCGGGAAACTTTCCTTCCAGATCGCCGCAGCCTCTGGGGGCTCTGTCTCCAGCACCAGGGCCTTCTCCACGGCTCCTAACTACGTGAGCACTTCTCGGATGCGTTCCCCCTGCGTTTGCACGATCCATTTAGTGGTTGATAGGTCGGTGAGGTGGCAGATTAGCGATAATGGGACTATATCTTGGTAAGGCATCTGTTGGTTTCTTTGCATAATCCATGATCTCCTAGCAAGGAGTATTGACTAAAGGAATTACTTTACGGAATAGGGAACTTATTTAAGCGAGGCCACATGAAAATAGAGTTTTGGTCAAAGCATAGAGTATCGACTAAAGGAACGATTTGTGCATGGCAAAATTTAAAGCTTGACATCGAGTGGCAGCGATCGGTGAAGCAAAGGTAACTAATAAATTCCATTGAAGTTATATTATTATATCCTTTATATTGTAGCACTCCAGGGAGGCAAAGATTAACCTCTATGTGAATCGAGCGAAGGCGAACAATGTAGTCATGGAGAAAAGAGCCTTCGTGTTTTGCTATAACCTGAAAGTGATTTTGAGAATGTGGATTCATTTTTTTTCCAGCAAACTTCACGGCTTTGATTGGGCAGCAAATGCCATACAAGTAATCTTGAGCTTTGCCATTACCAATTTAGATCATTTGCTAAAAAGTGCACTTGCTGATGTCTAAGTAGCTGGACATGAAACCACACTACAATTAGTGACTCAAATTAAAAAATTTCAATTTTGAATTCATGGCCGATTCTGTATCAAACTTTATTATAGCTGAATTTTTCTGAGTGCATGAGTGCTTCTCTGTTCCCTCAGGTCTTATTCAATGATTTCTTAGCCACTTTACCACAGGAACATGATTCAGTGGATACTATTGATATATGTGAGATTGATCAACTGGTTATTGATGTAAGAATGACCACTTTACCTATGCTCAAAATTCAAGGTATAATAGTGTGAATATTTTTTTTTTCTGATTTTTCTCTCCAAACTGTGCAGGTTTGCAAAGAATTCTTTCCAAACTTATCCATTGGATATAAAGATCCTCGTGTCCGACTTCATGTTGGTGATGGTATGTTGAAAAGCTGGTGCCTGGTGGTATTTTATATGATTGTGATAGGTTGTAAGATATGCCACTATTGTTTATAGCCTCAGACATATCGTTTCTGCAGGTCTTGATCTCTTATAGTTCATAGTATACTTGCTTTTGTTTTGTAGCTGTTGATTTCCTGAGGAATTCTCCTGAAGGAAAATATGATGCTATTATTGTCGATTCATCAGATCCAATTGGTGGGTTCTTGCTATCACATATTTTAGTAATAAGAAGTATAGAACTCTCTTGTACATTCGTTTATCACTTCATTCACATGTCATTCTTGATAAGGTTGCTTCTTGTTGATTTCTTTTGTTATCCTGTTATCTACAATAGCTGGTTTAGTATGCATGGGCACATTTGGAATGCAATATTTCATATGAAATTGTTCATTTACATGTGAGGGAACTTTTGTGGTGGTTCCAAACATAACCTCGATATACCTAGTTGATTTACACCTGTGTCCTTTTTTTTTGAAAGTTAATATGCATTCGTAAAGTCCACTTAATTGATACCTTTTGTTTGCACACTGTTTTAAATTCCTTTCATACTAATTATTACAGGGCCAGCACAGGCACTCGTGGAGAAACCATTTATTCAGACAATTGCTAGAGCTTTGAAGCCTGGTGGTGTTCTTTGTAATCTTGCTGAGAGCATGTGGCTGCACACACATCTAATCCAGGATATGCTTGCTATCTGTCAACAGACATTCAAGGGTGCCGTGCACTATGCCTGGACAAGTGTTCCAACATATCCCAGGTATTATGCACTAATATCCCAGGACGTGCTTATTGTACAATGACCACAGGAACATTTTGTTTCAATAAGCTCAGCAACTGTTTAGGAAGGTTTGCTTGCAAAAAAATGCACTTGCTGGTGTCTAAGTAGCTAGACATGAAACCACACTACAATTAGTGACTCAAATTAAAATTTACCAATTTTTAATTCATGGACGATTTTATATCCAATCTTTATTGTAGCTGAATTTTTCTGAGTGCATGAGTCCTTCTCTGTTGTCTCAGGTCTTATTCAATGATTTCCTAGGCACCATAAATTCAGGGCCTGGCTCTGTTCAGTTGGCTGAAAAAATGACCGCTGCTGATGCTGATGTCCGTGCGTAATCGGCGGCGGCGGTTCCGCATGGAGGTAAGAACCGGCTGCTGTGGCTGCATATTGAACCTAGGGATTGTGACGGCGTGACACACGGAGGCAACGCTAACCGGCGGCTGCTGTGCAGGGAGGCTCAAAGGGGAAGGCCACGCCTACGACCGCAGCGGTGCTCGCCACAGCCTATAGGTGCTCATGTAAGTTTCTGGTTCCTCTTGCTTGGAATTTTACAAGAGTGCTAGCTAAATAGACTGTTTTCGTGCCCCATGCCAGTAATTGTTGGGTGAATTTTGGCGCTGCGCATGTTTGTATTTGCCACTCCAATAGATGTTTATGGTAGGGCTTCAATTGCAGCCTTGGCCTTGATCACAATCGAGTCAACAAATAGATCTTTTGGACCTAACACCACACACAACTAATTTTCATTGGACATAACACAAGAATGGGAGTGGGTGTAACATACTGAAGAACTATTTCTAACCAAAAAAGAAACTACAAACCCAAGGGGTAGCCCTCTCAAAACAACTATTCGAGGTGCCTAAGCAGCTAGGAAAAATGCTTCTTGTTGATCCCACGATGGTCGTTAGTTAGGGTGGCTGCCTCAACGCCGGTGGTGGCAGCAGCACCATCAAGATTGCAACCTTTATCGCCACGAGGTGGTCTTGTAAAGACTCCACGGTACCTCGGGGCACACGAGGGTGCGAGAATGGAGCACACCTTTGGCCGTAGTCTGCAGCGATCACCACGATGGTGGCTATGTTGAGGTGGATGCGAAGGTGGTCGAGGGATGGCGAGGTATTTGGACGTCCGGGAAGTTGAACTTACGTTGTCCGGGAGGCACTCACCATAGAAGCGAGAACATGGCGGCATCATATGCATGCGAGCCGCCTCAAGGGCATGCCTAAAACCTGCCGATCCAGAGCCCGAGTGTCGTGTGTGTGTGGGATGCGGATCTCCGTAGCCCACTGCCCTAACTCCGCTCTCATACGCCCGCCCAGCCTAGCCCTTACGTGGGTGACGGCGGTTGGACATTGTTGGCACCGTAGCGAGATGCCCTCCAGCGGTCTTTGTTGGGAACGATCCCCTCTTTGCTAGTGCTACGTTCTTTGGTTGGCGTGGGTCTGCTGCGGGCATAGCTCACCACCCACGGTGTGCAAGAAACTTGAGCGAGGGCAAGAGTGGTGGTGTTGAGTGGAGATGAGCGGGAGAGAGGGTGTGTTTTTAAGCGCGTTGAGAGGCAGCCGGTGTCTTGGTACTGGCTGGCCAACCATTGAAGTCTGAAGTAAAAAACGGAGGGACCATATTTTGATGTTTTTAAGCCTTCGACCTGGACCCTGAACCCACTGAGTGCGGTTGTGCTAGATTCTCTCCTCGAGATAGTAAATGCATACACACATCATTTGAGGATTCTATAGGTTGTTTTATTTCTTTGGCAAGCGTAGTTTTTCTGGGTTTGTTCTTGTTCCTATGCTTGCTACTTGCAAGGCATTAGGACTGCACCTCTTAGATCACAGTGGTTATTAGCACACAAGGTAAGTGGTGTTACGATAAATGTTTTTGGCGTGGGTGTATTGAGAGTGTTTGATCGGCGTTAATTTAGTTGTTCCGCTTTCTTGTATTTGTAAACAAATCGATTAGAGGACCACTAAAATGAGTGTCATTGGCGAGGGCTCCAATGTGGTTGGGCATATTACCGTAATAATATATCTGGATTAGGGTGTGATCTTGCCGTTCCAATATAGAATATATGTCATCACAAGCACCCAACACACATATTTATCTCAAGGTGGCAAATAAGGCCATTGGACAAGATTACATGCGAGAACACACAGAACCAAAGGTACACACATAGGTAATTAGCAACACACATGCTAGAATATCATAGGAGGCTAACATTGCTAAACAACATCTCGGAGACCGAGACTCTAGGTGGATGGAATGAGGCATGGGCTTCTAGGCGCACATGTCTTTGGTATTAGCGATGAAATATTCATTTGGATGCTACATAGCATTGTGCCATAGCACTAAGTTACAGCGTTCTCAAGAGACTGGTAGGATAGCATAGGGCTTTAGATGTAGCACCTCCGGACTTCCTAGAGAGCTCTGGTGATTGTGTCCCTGGCAGGGAGTGCATAAGTACTGAGTTAGCGAGTCATTGGAAGGAAGCAGAAGAGTGTTTGGGACGAGCGCAAACCAAGGAGCATGCATACCTTTAAAGACTCCCGGAAGGGATGTACATGGGGTGCTCTCGAGGACAAGGTGAATAGGCTGTTCGACAAGCTAGACATACCGTGGGTGCAGTCCGGGACAGGCTCTGCTCCAATGGGCGTAAGAGGAGCCGCTAACGAAAGGATATCACCATAGCTTGAGCAGATGGAGCCGAGGCGGTCAAGAAGTTTTTATGAGATTTCAATAGATCGTCGTGCATCAGACATGACATATCATACCTGATCGAACAAAATTTGGGACCAGGACATGAAGTGGTTCGATTGCTCGTATGTTTCCTTAAAGGCGGATAAGTTAGATCATTGATGCAAATATTCAGCCTCGCTATAAAATAGCGTATTGCTTGCTCGAAACACTTTCTTGTGCCTTATATTCGGTCATGCAAGGGATCTTTGTGGAAAGTCGAACTTAGGTAAGCCCTTTTTGCCCGGTTGGGAAGGAAGCTCAATCTTGAGCAGGGCCATGGTTTTCTTGTTATCCACCTTAATCTGCGCCCTCGGTGTGAATAACTGCGCCTATCTTGGGAAGGATCTGTCTTAGAATGCTTGTGCGTGATATGTCAAGTAAAACTGGATCCTACAACAAAGTTAAGCAAATATGAAGAGTCGAACATCTGCTGGCGTGTATAGGTGGACCCAGAGAATTAAGCCACCACCAATTCATTTAGGCCTTGTGGTGAGAGGTAAGCCAATACCATCATTCTTCATTTAAAGCCAACTAAATAAAGTAGTACCAGAGGCACGGGGACATGGGCACCCAAGCCGCCCGATGGAAGTGGTGGCACGGGGACATGGGCACCCAAACCAGACGATGGAAGTGGTGGCACCAGATCATGGGCATCCAATGGAAGTGGCGGCGCTGGATCCTCGATGATGCTCTTACCCTTATCCATGTTGACGATGATGCTCCTACCCTTATCCATGTTCCTGTCAGATGAGGGAGAACCTACTTTGTGAGAAATATAACATACACTGGTGTATACATAGACCACATAACTTTTATATCTAAAACAAAAGCAATTATAGTCATGACTTCATGTTTGTAGTTATATTTGTTCAAAATAAAAAGTGTCACCGGCACATGCTAAGCCCTGAAAAGAGGACCAAATAAGATAAAGCGGCTGAAAGTTGCATTAATGGTTTCACAATGTATATTCTTGTAATTTATCTAGTGGACCACTGCCTGGCACATGGACCACAGCAAGTGCTGCTTTGGTATCTATACCAGGAACCTATCGCAAGGAGAAATTTGGAAGGATGAGTGACCAGTGTTTGACCTATGCTGCTGCTGGCAGCCGGTCTGATCCTAAGCGTGGAACGTGCCATATAAATAGAGAAGCCTGCGTAGGTGTAGTATTGGCGGCGAACATGAACCCATGGGCAGGTGAACTACATGCACGACAAGGATGGCCTACTTGAGTAGACGGCGGGACTGGTAACAGTAGGTGTCTTTAATGAAATGCACCTCAGGCACGCTACCAATTTGGGAGGGATGCAGTGCATCGCTACGAACACGTTACGCACGAGTGGGTGCATGTGTAACTGTGATTAAACGAGTGGTGCCTTTTGTCCACTGGCAGGGTCACCTGAGACCCTTCTAGGCACCGCCTCCTACCCTACATAGGTTTCTAGGAGTCTGTGTCAGTGTGCACCAGGCACACCTAAGCTGTCCTGGTTTGGGCGGCTACCCTAGATAGGTTTTTAGGAGTTTGTGTTGGTTCCATTATGGGCACACGTGCACAGAGAAGTACATTTTTGGCCGGATAGATGCATCTAGGCACGTGCTGAGAAAGCACACATTAGGTACCCCTTTTGTATTAGATCTCTCACCCTGCCGATGGTAGCGCGAATGCATGGCCATATTTCACTCACGTAGTTGATCTATTACTTGCATTGACGGGCTCGTGTACTGACTTAATGGTTAATGGTGGAAGACTCATCCGTCAAAAGCGTCGTGCAGTGTGATAACCTATATTACAGAGCCCAGGCCCGACTCGGTATGGTGCCATGACCTGCACACACACAAAAACAAAGATATCTAACAGCACACTAATGTACCTTGGCAGCCCTTGCATCAAAGTTTGATGGATGCGATATTTAGAAGCCATCATCATGCCTTGTCCATAGAGCTAAATGGGTATGGTGGATGAGGAATTAGGTTCACCAATTACGACGCAGGTCCATCAAAAGGCCATGCTGCCTCTTTCCTGGCGGCGAGAGGAAGCCCCACATGCGCTCAACGTGTTCTTTGTTGAAGTCTGTGGAGGTCGACAACAAAAAAACAACACGTATCCAATGAAACGTATGAACACTTGATGGGACATGCATAGAAGGACAAAAAAACACACTGCTCTTCCCGGTAGGATAATTCTTTGCGTTAGGAGAGATTTACCCACATGTCTTCTTCCCTTATATACAAATTGACTACCGGTAGCTCATTTACATACGCAAGCTACTATCGGCCTAGTGCATTTGTTTTGCAGGAAAAAAAAATACTACCGGCCACTTCTCTGCGTGCGAGAAGCTCTGGTGGCGGCGAGGAATTTCTGACAGCATCTAATGCCTTGCATGAGGCGAGATGAAGCATAAAACAAGAACACACAGATGCAGGCCGCTCACGAGGGACAATACAAAGGTGCAGTTAGGTAACTCATAACTCCTCCTTTTGTCCACACCTATGGACATGCTAAATAATAAGATCTGGCATCAATT